TGACCTGGTCCCTGATCTGCTGCTGCGCAATCATGGCTGGGTCCAGCGCTCCATGCTCCGCCCCCCAGCTTGCGCACTTGTCTGCCATCTCATTGCCTATGACCCACCACGTCGGCCCTGTCCACCTTTCCAGCTCCGTCGGGTGCTCGATCATGTGGCTGGGGATGTGGTGGCCCATGATGTTGTCGGTGCTGTTCTGGAGCTGCCGCTTGGCCATTAGCCAGAGGTCGAAGTTGGTACTCCTGTAATCGAGGTCCTCTGGGTCTTGGATCTGCTCGAGGGCGTCCACGGCGCGCTTGCAGTCGCTGGCGATGTTGAGCCCACGTGCTGAGGCCGCCGTCGTGTAGCCGATCGCCTTGCTTATGGCCGTGAGCTCCGCTCTTGACACCGTGTGAGGCGCCCTTACTGTGCCGTACCAAGCTGCCACCTCCTGGGGCAGGCCGTACTGGTCGTACTTGAAAGCCACGATTGCCCAACCACATCTACGTAGCCTGGGGCCCTTGGCAGTCTCACCTGCCCCCCCAGAGCCGTCCGTGAACACGTAGTCAGCTTGAACTTTGTGGCCTTCCTGGACTGCTGCTTGTGCCTCCGCATTGGTGCAGAAGATGTGTGCCGCCTTCTTGACGTCCTCTTCTGGGTCCACTTGTACTGCCCATGCTGCTGGTGGGATACCTCTGAGCCAGAAATGCTCGTCCTGCTGCTGGTCGAGCGCGTCGATGGCCTTCTTGACTATGTCTGTGTTGTTGCTGTGGCCAATCTCCTCGTATGCAAGGCAGGTGTAGTAGCGGTGCTTTTCCGTCTCGATGGCCTCTCCGCACCTGGCGCAGGTGTCTTCACCTTCCTGGTTGAGGTTCGCTGCTCTGCGCCGCTCCCGCGTCCAAATACCTGCCACTGTAATGGTCTTCAGCATGGCCGCTTCAGCGTGCTGCCCTTTGCGTCGCCTCCTCCTCAAGTGTCTTTGCAGCTGGTAGAGGTCGCCTCCCTCCTGCAGTCCTGCGCTGTGTCGGTGCTCTGCCGCTTGCTGCCAAAGCTGTTGCTGGGCGCTCTGTTGGACCTCCTGGAGTAGCGCTCCGAAGTGTGGGATGTCTTCTGGTCGGTGCGCCCACTCCTCTCCTGCTGGGCTGGTCCAGCTATCCAGCCGCCATGGGTTCCAGCCCGGCCCCGGCAGCTGCACAACGACTCCTGCCATGGGGCCCTTTACCTGGTTCCACCTCTTGTTGGGCTCCAGGGCCTGCATTTTGTCGCGCAGCATGTGCCAGCCTCTCTGGCACCGCTTGGGCTCCGACGGGTGGTCCACGATAGTGAGCCAGAACTGCTCGACTTGGTCCACGATGGCCCTGGTGACCGCCTCCTGCGCGCCCCTCTGGATCAGGAGGATGGTGGATGTGCATCTGCCTGCTTTGTGCCCTCCTGTGAGCAGTGCTGCCTCTGTGGCCCTGACCTCGGTCGCCTCCGTGGGGTGATTCCGAGCGCTGGCAGGTCCCAGGCTTGTTGGCAGTAGGCCCCCGCTGCATGTACCTTGGCTGCCACTCTGGCGTCCGTCTTGGCACGGTCCTTGAGATTTTCAATGCGCTGCTTTGCTTTCGCCTGTCTGGCTGCGTGGGTGGGCCGCTTCAACTGCTTACCCAGCCCCGTATCCACGCCCAAGTCTCGGGCCACTCCTGGCTGCTTGTTCGGGGTGCCCAGGCCATCCAGGATGCTGGCGATCTCCTGCTGAAGGTCCTTGTCGGAGGCCACGACTGCCGTCTTGACGGAAATCGGGATGGAGAGCCTCGCGAAACCCTGATGCACCAAGGCGGCCACGTGTTTCACCAGCTCTATAACCTGGTTTCTTGCTCCTTCAATCTGCAGGGCCAGGTCGCCCAGGTACTGCTGGATCACTACGAGGATGTGGTTCATGCGCGTTGCCTCCAGGATGCCGTAGAGGAGCGGCCTCGTGAGATCCACGTCCTGGGCACAACCTGCTACCATACTGTTGGCAGGCTCAAAGATGTCTGAGAAAAGGCTGTGGGCCATGATGGCCCTCGGCGCCAGGTACATCTGCGTTGCCATGGCCAGGGGCAGCAGGGGGTAGTTGAGGTCAGATGCCTTCTCGATCAGCTGGTCGAGGCCGATATTGTCATAAAAGTTGGCCGCATCGTAGAAGATGCCTGCTGCATGGAAACCCATTTGCACTGCCGCCTCTGCCCTCATTAGTCTGTGCATCGCCACTCTGAGTGCTGAGGAGCCTGCCACTGCCGTGTCCCAGAATCCTGATGCCCTTTTGCTCCAGGTGGAAATGACAGGCCGCCTGGCCGCACTCCAGATACGGTAGGGCATGGGCATCAGGCCGATGGGTCACTCTCCTCCTATGCCTGGCTTTTTGCCCACCAGCAGCTCCAGCACCAGGTAGAACTGCCATGGCCACGCCGCTCGCTCCTCGCAGTTGTGGGGGCACTACACGAAGTCCGTGAGCCCCTGGGCGCCCATGGCCTTTAGCTCTGGCGCCCTCCACCAATCAGCACCCTGGTCCGCGTTGCGCTTCAGGTGCTGGATGATGGAGCCGACGATGTCCTTGCTGGGGGGTTCAAGCGCATTCTCTTGGGCCAATGCTGCCGTCCTGAGTTTGCCCAGGGCACCCTGGATCTGATCTGCCTTGTGCGCATCACGCGTCCATCTTCGCTGCCACGCGCCCTTGCGCAGGTCCACTAGCTGCTGAGGGTGTGAGACCACCTGGCCCTCGTGCTCCAGGATGTCCTCGATGTGGCTGCGCTCCGCTGTCTTGGTGTAGGCGTGGGCCATCTTGGCACTGCCTGCCGTGGCGTCGTGCACCCAGTGGATGTACGCTTTCTTCACCGCCTTGGTGAGGTTATTGGCTGCGCCCCTGACTTCTTCTGCTACCTGGTGGCTTGTGGCAGGGTCCACCAGGGCTCCGGCAGCGATCAAGCCAAGCGCCGCCAGGAGGGTCTGCTGACGCTCCTTGGCATCGCCTTCTTCGTTGTACCTTCCGCAGTCTGGTTGTTGGAGCTGGCGTGCGAGCTGTCGGCGTGTGAGGTCCTGCTGCAACGTGCGGTGGCCGCTCTGGTTGCGGCACTGCTGCGGTGGCCCACTCCTCTGTCCGCTGCCTTGTCTAGGAACCTCTTCATGTGGTCGTCGTGCTGCTCCTCCTGGTACGGCTGCTGGCTGGCGGTCTGCTCTGGGTCTTGGGGCTCTTGCGCCCAGCGCCTCCCTCATCATCTGCCTCAGCGCTGCGAGCTCCTGCCAATGCATCATCTCCAGCTCGTATCTTCTCATGGGCTCCTGCTCTGCAAGGCCTGTGAGGAATCCTTGACGGCGTGGGGCTGCCTGCCGCCACGCTCGCTCGCAGAGATCCCTGAGGATATCTCGGAAGCTGGCGCGGGGTTGCCAGCGCCTGAGGAGCCGCTCCAGGCCGATGTTGCCGCCATTGGCGAAAACCTCCTCCAGGAAAGGCGGGCACCACTCCATCCAGTTGGTGTTGCCCACTGGTTCCTGGCTCAGGCCGTCCATCCAGATTGCGGCCCACCTCTCTAGGTCGTTGGAGGAGGAGGAGGAAGAGGAGGAGGAGGAGGAGGAGGAGTAGGAGGAGGAGGCGGAGGAGAAGTAGGGAGAGGACGACGAAAGTCATGCATATACACTGCTCCCTGGCCAGGCACAGCCCTGTGCAGACGCCCTCCCGGCTCGGCCAGGAGGGCGCCTGCACAGCTCCCGGGCTCAGGATGGGCCTGGCCAGGGAGCCGTGGAGTGCATAGATCTCGTTGCCCGAAGGGAGCGAGGGAGGGGCGGAAACAACAACCTGTAGGCGACACCACAACTACACTCGACCAGGATAGCAAGGATGCGCGGCAAGGATGCAAGGGCCTTGTAACGCCATGTTGACGCTTTCCGTGCGGAGCGCAGCAGAATGCCGAAGGATGCCGCATACTGAAGGGACAAGCATGCAAGGGTAGCCTTGGAAAGTTGCCCCATCCTTACTATCATGGTTGACTGTAAGGGCGGTGCTCCCGTCCTCATGAAGGGAAGGAGAGCTGTGCACATGCACCGATCCTGGCTAGGCAGGATCGGTGCATGCGCGGTCTGGCCAGGAGTCTTTGCCGCGCGGGCACGCTGATGGGCGCCCGCGCAACAGGAGTTGCGGCGGCGTGGCGCCAAGGCCGCCCTCGTGCCGCTGCCCGGGATGGTGCTCCCATTCTCAAGAGGCTGCCCTGGGTTTGAGGCAGCTTCTGGGAGGTCGTCGTGAGAACGGCTGGGGGGTGTGAAGCCCGACTGCTGGGCCTCTGAACCAGATTAGCCAAAATATAGCTCAGAATCAGTCCGAGAGCGGGATTGAGCGGAACTGCTGGGAGCTATGTCCGATTGGGCCGGTTTTCGACCGCGGGTATACAAGCGCCGATGCTGAATTTAGCCTCCCAGGAGTCGCCTGCCCGCGTCGCTGGCTGCCCCTCAGGCTCGGACGGTCAGAACCCCCCCGAGGAGCCATACAGTCATCGTGCTACCATACGGAACGCAACATCTGGAACGAATGAGGCGTTCCTGTCCAAGGCTCGCCTCGGCCACGGATGGGTCCCCCCAAGGCAATGCGGGATACATACAGGGAAATCTAAACGCAGCTGTGTATATATATATATATATATAAACATGCATATATATATATATATATAGAGAGAGAGAGAGAGAGAGAGAGAGAGAGAGAGAGAGAGACAGGAAGCGAGAGAGAGAGAGAGAACGAGACAGAAGCATTGTAAGAGAGGGGCACAACAACATTCAAACCGACGCACACATACACACATCTGAATACAGATATAATGAAAAAGAAAGAGAGAAAGAACCCTATACAAACATATATAGAGAGAGAGAGAGAGAGAAATACACAAAAATAGGACAGACAAGAGAGAGAGAGAGAAAGAGGGAGAGAGAGAGAGAGAGAGAGAGAGAAACAAAGAGAGGGAAGGAACGACGGCAACGACTACGATGACGCGGTCGACTGTAAAATCGACGCTGTCCTTTTGGATAGCACTAGCACGCGGGCTCGAGCTGGTCAGCGCGCCCCTCTTCATGAGTGTGCGGCTCTGCTGCGGACCGTCTCTCAGCCGCTCCAGCATCTCCTGGGGAGGGGGAAAGAAAAAGAGACGGGATCAACGTCACGACCCTACCAAATGGACAAATCCTTTTTTTCTGTCGCAACCAACGTCACCGACACGATGTTCCGAACACGGCACTGCCAGCAAAAAACGGAGTCGTCAACAGCATTCATGTCGGTGATAAAACCGACCGAATGTCCCCGCCGATCTGCCCCAGCTTCCCCATTCTAGAGGGCAGAAAATCCACCCCGATAATAACCACCCCGACACGCGAAGCCGTTTAGTTAACGCACCCCAAGAAGGAATCAAACAGGGCAGGGCTGTTTAGTAAACGCCCAAGGCCATTTAGTAAACGCCAATTGTCCGATCCGGGTGGTTCTTCTTCCCTTGACATTCCTTCCCCCCGTTGTGGTATTGCTGCCAGAGTACGGTCCTTCCCCTGCTCGCGGGTCCCTCACCGCCGCCGGCGCGCGCGCGGCGCCCCCGCGGCAGAGTCCCTCGCATGCCCGCGCGGGCTGGCGACAGGGTGACTCGTGGTCGCCATGCGATGGGGCTGCGTGCGTCGGAGCGACATCAACTGCTCCAACTTCTTCACCTCCTGCTCCTCCTCCTCCCTAACTGCTGACGTTGTTCGCTCGGTGTTTGTGCCCCTGGCAGGTTTCTGGCAGACAAGACTGGGTCCCCCTGTAAATCCCGAAGGGGCAAAACCACCCGGGGGGGGGGCTTTTGTTGAATGGGGGCAGGAGGAGCCCTCCTCTCGGGCGCACACAAGGGGTCCGTGCATCTGACGCTTGGGCGCCAGAGCCATGGACCAAGGAAGGCACCCACCGAAACATGAGGCAAATCCCGCCTCATCTGGAGACGGGGCGAGTCGATTTGGGGTGGCAGCTGGACCCGCCGCTAATCCACGCACCATAACCTATGGTTGCGGTGCCTCGATCCTCCTCCTCCTCCTCCTCCCTCCTCCTCCTTCCCCCTGTGATGCCTGACCGTTGCCACTGCTTGTCTTCGCCCCGCTGTGCTTCGGCGTCGCGTGCTCTGAGAAAGAGGGAGGAGGAGGAGGAGGAGGAGGAGGAGGAGGAGGAGGGTGAGAAGCAGCCGCAGTTGCAGCCTCAGCATGCAGCAGACTCGATCCGTAGGCCTTGGGTCAAGCTCGGCGCGAGCAGCAGCAAAAGCATTCTTTCATTCCAAGCAGATCTTCGCATTGGTAGCGGGAGCGATTGGTTCCCTTCATTTCACGGAGTCAGTGGGCAGCGCTCAGAGAGCGAGTGGCCGCAGCAGGCCACCAGACACTGACGAGACGGAGAGCACGGACAGCGAGTCTGTGAACAGCAGTTGGGATCTCCTGCGCACGATGCCAGAGTCAGGAGAACAAGCAGGCGCCGACGGAGGTGGTCTGCAGTTTCGAGGTGATGGTCGAATGCCAGGGGTGGAGCTCACGGTCCTCAGCAAGGAGTTGGCGAGGAATCCCAGTTCCTATCGCGAGTGGCGAAAAGAGATTGAGATCATCGAGAAGATCTACAAGGTGGCTCCAGCGGACCTCGGACCCTTGGTGTACCTCAGCCTGGAGAAGGGCGACGGACAGCCAAGGGAGTTGGTCGAGACGCTCGACCTAGACGTGCTTAGCAGCGACGTCGGCCTGCGGAAGCTGATGGAGATTCTGGACGAGGAGTTCACCGAGAAGGACTACGAGCGCAGCGAGAAGCACCTCAGGGCGTTCGAGAAGTGCCGCAGAGGCGTCGGAGAAGATGTCGACGACTACATCGCGAGGTTGAAGACAGCCAGGCGCAATCTCAAAGTACACGACCCTGGCACTACATACTCCGACACCTCATTCGCAAGGAAGCTCTTGCGGAGCTCAGGGCTATCTCGAGAAGCCCAGCGGCAGGTACTAGCAGCGGCAGGCGCGGAGTGGAACTCGGAGAAGATCGAAGCGACGATCAAGATGGTCTATGGAGATGTTCACCTGGGCGAGAAGCGGCGTGTTGACAAGAAGAACGAGCACCCGAGCAGGAAAACGCAGTACCGACAGTTCCCTCCACGTTTTGGACAACCTGCTTCGAAGTTTACTTCAGGCAGCAGTGCAGGAGGAGGAAAACCTTCCGGAGCATCGGGAGGTGGAAAAGGCTGGTTTCGGCGACCGGTCTGGAATGCCAATTACGCGGGTGGAATGGACGCAGATGAAGAGTTCAGCCAAGATGAAGACTACCCTGATTACGATGAAGAAGACGGCCAGCCACAAGACGCCCTCGTGGCGGAGGAAGGCGCCAGACAACCACCAGGAGGACGAGCGCGAGCACTGCGAGCAGGACTCGGGCGCCATGGACGACGAAGAGGAGGTGGTGCTGGACGCGTTCTACCAGGGCTTCAAGGCGAAGAAGAAGCAGTTTGGCCGCGGCAGGGGCCGCGGGAAGAACACCACGAGTGGCGGCCGGGGAAAGAAGTCCGGAGTGTGCAACGACTGCCTCCAGCCAGGCCACTGGAAGGGCGACCCGGAGTGCCCGAAGGTGATCGCGGGGATTACGTCTCCATTCAAGCCTGGCGGCAAGGGCGACGGCGAGAAAAGTTCTTCCTCGGCGAAGGTGGCAGCAACGATGGCTACGGACAGGATGGCGCACATGGTGTTCAAGTGGTTGAACGACGGAGCGGAAGCATTGCCATCTCCCCATCCGGGACCGGTGGATGCCTTCGTGCTGGGCTCGCAGAAGGTCAAGACGGAGGTGAAGCACGAGATGAACAACCGTGGGCTCGATCCCAGGAGGCCTCCGACACCGGGCTCAGAGTTCGAAGACGACTCCTTCGAGAAGGACTCAGACGAGTCCGAGGGGGTCTACAAGAGCTGGGCCGAGGAGCAGCTCAGCGCGAGCTGGCAAGGAGGAAGCATAAATCGACGGGACCACGGGAGGAGTTGATCGAGAGGCTCCTCCGATCCAACCTGCACGCGTTCATGGAGGAAGAAGTTGACGGATGGCAGGACGTGGAAAAGAACCCTTCAGGAGCGGCTGGAAGTACCGACGGCGGCAAGAAGCCGAAGCCCTCATCGCGGCCTAAGCCTAAATCGGCACCAGCGGCTTCGAGGTTCCAGTCGGATAGGATCCACGTCAGCGGCGACGACGTACGCTCGTTGGTCGATCGGCACAGGGCACGGCTGGACGAACCGCGCGCGCGACCACCACACAGGATACGTGACCGACTGCGAGCTGGAGGTGTTCAGGATCCTGACGGCGAAGCAGCTGCAGGACACTCTTGATGCTCGAGCAGCCCTACAGTGGCACCAAGCAGGAGAGGATCGAGAGGTTGATAGCGTTCATCACCGACCAGGTGGAGAAGCCCTGCGAGCACAAGAATGCGGGCTCCGGCGAGGCCCTGGACAACGTTCGCTGGACAAGCACCTCTACTTGGACGTTCGCGATCTGCAAGAACTGCAACCGGTACTTCCAGCGGATCCCGAAGACGAGCGCCGCGAAGGAAATCAGGGACAAGGCGTACAGCCGCGAGGACAAGAAGGACGTACTCGTGGTCAACGACGTGTTGTGGGACGACATCGGCACGACGGAGCTAATCAACGACAGCGGATGCAGGCGCAGCGTCGCAGGCCACGAGTGGCACGACAACCTACAGGCCCACCTGAAGAGTTTGGGCCTCCAGCCGGTCAAGAAGGACATCAATGAGGAGTTCAGGTTCGGCGGGGGCGACGTGGCAGTCAGCACGGAGTCGTTCGTCTACCCAGCTGGGATAAATGGCGCACACGGAGTCATCGAGGTGGCCCATTTCCAAGGACGAACACCACCACTGCTGTCGCAGCAGGCGATGCAGGACCTGGGCGTGATCGTCAACTACCGCAAGAAGGTGATGGACATCGAGGAGGCTGGAGTGTTCAAGAAGCCGATCAAGCAGTCGCGGTCGGGGCACTTCCTCGTGGACATCGGAGAGTATGGCAACCCGAACGAGTTCCCGGAGTGTTTCCACATCAATAACAAGATTGACATGACCCCACAGGAGGAGGCCGGCGAGCTCGGTTTCAAGGACCTCTCGCGTGTCGGAGTCCTGCAGCGAGGTAGGAAGAAGCGGCTGCAGAGGACCGCGAGAGGAGTTGCTGACGCGTTGGCCGCAGAGGCGAAGGGATCCGGCCACAAAGACTCGCCGACAGCGAGGCCGAGATCCAAGAGGTGGAAGTTCCTGGAGATCTTCTCGTGGACGCTTGCTCTATCGTGCGAGGCGGCGGCGCAAGGGTGGCAGGTCATGCCGCCAATTAGCATCGAGACGGGCTTCGACCTCTACGCACGTTCCGGGCGAGCACGAGCCTGGAGGGAGGTCGTCGACAACAAGCCGGACGTGGTGGCCATGGCTTGGCCCTGCGACCCCTGGACGGTGATGCGCAACTACCAGGCGCACCGCCCAGCGTTCCTGAAGGAGTTGCAGGTGCGGCAACAACAGTCCCGTGGAACGTTGAGGTTCGTGAAGAGGGTGGCCGACTACCAACGCAAACGCGGAGCCTACTTCTACGGCGAGAACCCGCTAACGAGCACGGCCTTCCAGGAGAGGCCGATAGTGGAGCTGCTGAAGTCGCACGGCACGACGGTGGTGGACATGTGCGCGTTCGGGCTCCGACATCCAGATTCGGATTTACCCATTATGAAGCCATCGCGAATCATCATGTCCACGCAGACGATGGCGGACAAGCTCGAACGACGGTGCCCAGGACACCGACAACACGCTAGGATCGAAGGGCGATTGGCTACGCAAAACATGAGGACGAGCACGTACGCCGGCGGCTACACGAAGAGTTCGCCGAGGCCGTCATCAGCATGTTCGCGAAGGCGTTGGACATGCGGGCTACACACGACGCACTTGCGAATGAGGCGAAACGACGACGCATTACCACACCTACGGCATCAAAGCGGAGAATGCCAGCCCCACACGCCCAACAAAAAGAGAGGAGAGTGAGGGTTGTATCTGCTACGACTCCTCCGTTTACGACTACCCCGCCTACCACGCCCACGCGTTCGCGTTCGGGTAAAGACAAGAAGGACATCATCAAGAAGGTGCGAGCGCCGACGTTTTCACATGGCGGTGCTAGCCAACTACGACGCACAATTTCATTCGACCAGACGAGGTACCTGACGAAGTTGACGCCCGGCTGGCACGGCAGCGGCGACCTTGTGATACACGTGGGACAAGGTAGGGTTCAACTATGGTCGAAGGACTACCCCGAGCACACCGTGAGATCCGTTTATGCGGTCAAGAAGACAAGTGACCGTGGCGGGAAGAAATGGCATTGCGAGGAGTTCGACAAACAGGTCGACCAAGATGGGCCAGAAACCTCGGGCACGCGAGGAAAACTGCGCAAGGCGGTGACGATGCTGAAGAAGGTTTCGCCCGGACTCCGAGGAGCCCCACCTGAAGTTCTACCGGATGTACCCCCAGAAGACCCTGAAGTACAACAACCACCGGAGCCTCAAGAGCAGCAAGTACCTCAGACAACAGCGGAAGAGGACGAGAACCCGGATGACGAGGTGGGGCAGGAGGTGGACGTGCCAGAGGAGGCGGACATCACCAGGGACCCGCTGTGCCCAGAGGATCTCCCGGCGGGCGAGATGTTCACTACGACGAGAGGCCAACAACAAGTGGCCCATGTTCCGCCTGAAGTTCGCGCGGAAGTACGACGAGCACACCGGAATCTGGGTCATTGCGGCCGTGAACCGCTACTACGAGTGATGAGGTTCGGCGGAGCCTCCCAGCTGCGCCTGGACTACGCGAAGGTGTGGCAGTGCGAGGTGTGCGCGAGACGAGCAGCTCCAGAACGACGTCGAGTGGTGTCGAGCCGACAGAGACCCACGTCATTTGGGATCGCGGTCGGGGTGGACACCAAGGAGCTGAAGGACGCGAGTGGCGGCAAGTACCCGGCCCTGAATTGCGTGGATTTCGCGACGAAGTTCTCGTGCCTGATCACGCTGGAGAACCCCATCCAGCGCAGAGGCGGCCAGGATGTTCATGACGAAGTGGTGCGCCTGGGCCGGAGTGCCTCTCGCGTGCCACTCCGACAGCGGCTCGGAGTTAAGGAAGGACTTCGCGTCCTACGCGGAGTCGGTGGGAATCACGATGAGAGGGGTGCCCACGGAAAGTCCGTGGCAACACGGGCTGGTCGAGCGCCACGGGGCCGTCAGCAACGACATCGTGCGCGCGATTGCGGACGAGTGCACCGTCCAGGGCCCGGCCGAGATGGAGCTAGCCATAGCGGCGGCGAACATCTGCAAGAATCGAAGAGTGGATCCATCAGGATACAGCCCCAGGATGAGAGTTTTCGGTTGTGGAGACAGGTTGCCAGGCAGCGTGCTGGACAGCCTCCTCAGTAACGAACAGTACCCAGAGATCACCGTGCACGACGCGGTGCTCAAGGACTACCAGGTCCAGCGGTCGCAGAAAATACGCGAAGCGGCTCAGGCCGCGCTGCCGAAGCTGGACAACAGCGACAAGTGGCGGAAGGCCATCGCCCACAACTACCGACCCACACCTTCGCCGTGGATGCCTGGAGAGTGCGTGTTCTGCTGGCGAGCGGCAGGCACCTTCAAACCGCAGGCGCGATCTACAAGAGGAGCAGACCGTTGGCACGGTCCAGCAGTCATCCTCGGCAGGGAGTGGGGGCGCGAAGGCCAGAACGAAGCGTACTGGCTGGCGTTCAACGGGAACCTCCTGCTGGTGGCACCACGACACATCAGGTCGGCAACCCCAGAGGAGCGCTTGGCGAGCGAGGGCATCGGCAGCATCCTCGAGAACTAAAACATGGACCTAAGCGGAATCTCGAGGGGCCAGCACACGTTCGAGGACTTGAGGCCGAGCGCGATGAAGAGTACACCGATGCCTCCGAATCCAGTCGAAGTGCCAGTGCCGGGAGTTGTTTCAGAACGAGTAGAAGAACCACGACAGACACCTGAGCCCGAAGCTCAGCCATCACCAGCAGGGAGCGTTGGGACGCCTACGCCACCACCTACACCACCATCGCAGATAGAAGAGGTTGCGCCTCCGGCACCAGTGGTGGAGACGGTGTTCAACCAAGCCGTCGAGACCCCAGTCCCGGACCTAGACACGGAGACGCTGCACGCGATGAACGACGTGTTCTCGCTGGAGCTCCTTCCTTTCCAAGCAGGCACCAAGGGGAAGGAGTTGGACTCGCGGAAGTTCACGAAGGCGGAGTGGCTCGGGTTCAACAAGAGCATCGCCAAGAACTGGAGCCAGCACCTGGAGCACGAGGCCGCCAGGGTGGTCCTGCCCGACGAGGCGGCAAAGGTCGACAAGTCGAGGATCTTCAAGGTGCCGGCGCGCTTCGTGCATACTCTCAAGGAGGGCCAACCGAACAGCCGACTCGTGATCCCAGGCCACCTCGACCCGGACAACCAGGGCAAGCTTGGCATCAAGCACGCGAAACGCATGGCGGTTTCGTCGGAGACGGCAGGCACGCGGACAGATGCACCAGTGGCGCCCATGGTAGGGCCGATGCTGCTGCTGAACTTGGCAGCGCATTTCGGCTGGGATCTCGGGACGTTCGACATCGGCTCGGCGTTCCTCGCCGGCAAGACGAACACGAGACGGTTATATGTGATGCCTCCCCGGCAAGGGCTGCCTGGAATCCCTGGTGGAAGCTTGGTGGAACTACTCAAAGGTGTATTCGGACTACGAGAATCCCCTCGTTTATGGCGGGGAAGGTTCTCGGAGGTGTTGATTCAGGCCGGCTTCCAGCCGCTCAAGACCATGAAAGGAGTTTTTGTCATTCGGGACGACATGGGCAAGGTCGAGGCGGTCCTGTGTGTTCACGTCGATGACGGACTCCGGGGCGGCACCGGCGAGCGTTTCGCCAGAGCGAAGAAGATCGTTCGCAAGAAGCTGAACGTGACCAAGGAGAAACAGGGTCGGTTCGAGTTCCTCGGCCAGCGCATCAACCAGCTGCCGGACAAGTCCATAGAGGTCGACCAGCACGAGTACGTCGAGAAGATGGAGAAGATCTTCGTGCCGGCCTCCAGGCGGAAGGACCCCGAGAGCAAGGCGACCGAAGAGGAGCTCTCGGAATACCACAGCCTTGGACAAAAATTATCGTGGCCCGCGCGGACGACACTACCCGGACTAGCCTATGACGTCAGCGACCTGCAACAGCGGACGCCGGACTTGACGGTCGGCCAGCTGTGCAAGGCGAACACGGTGTTGAACATGGCCAAGGAGATGGTGACGCGTGACGTTAAGCTACGATTTCATCGCGGAGATGGATCGGGGCGATTTGGATGCATGTGCGTACACGACGCCTCGTACGTCAGGCAGCCGAGGAGTGGATCGCAACAAGGGTTCATCCTACTGCTCACCGACGAGAAGTTCGACGCCAAGAAGGTCAACGTGGTGAACTGGTGCTCGAGCAAGATCCATCGTGTGGTGCGATCTACATTGGCAGCGGAGGCGGCCAGCGCGAGCTACGGGTTCGACAGGGCGTGCTTCGTGAGGACGGCGTTGGCCGAGATGCTGTACGGCTGGGAGTCAGAGAGCGACTGGACGACACTGATGGGCAAGATCCCCAGCCTGTGCGTGACGGACTGCAAGAGCTTCGTCGACCTTTGCCGGAAGGAGGGGAGCATGCCGACGGAGAGGAGGATCGCGTTAGACCTCGCGGACCTTCGAGATCGATTGGAAGCCGGAGACGGCTTGATATGGACGGACACCTGCCTGATGCTCGCCGACCCCCTGACTAAGCACATGAAGGACCAGAGCTATTTGGAGCACGTCCTCAAGACGGGTGAGTACGTCTACAGGTGCAAGTACGAGACCAAGGCGGAGAATCGTGGCGGGGGTGACCCCGGAGAGAGAGTGGCGTCCTGATGTGAGTGCTGCCCTAATAAGGTCTTCCTGAACGTGACGCGTGCCTGAACCGCGCAGGCCAGCCTGGCCACAGGACGCTTAGATGTGTATGATACAGATTCCATATTGACGAATAGCCCTGGTGTTATAAAGCGACTGGCCCTACGTATCGAGATAGAAGAGGTTGTGTGAGAAGCAGCCGCAGTTGCAGCCTCAGCATGCAGCAGACTCGATCCGTAGGCCTTGGGTCAAGCTCGGCGCGAGCAGCAGCAAAAGCATTCTTTCATTCCAAGCAGATCTTCGCAGAGGGGGAGGAGGGGGGAGGGGGAGGAGGAGGAGGAGGAGGAGGAGGAGGAGGAGGAGGAGGAGGAGGAGGAGACCGCCGATGCGAGACGACGGCGGCAGCGGCGACGAGGACGAGGACGGCAAGGAGACGACGACAACGTCGACGACGATGACGACCACGGCAGCGACGCCGACGTCGACCACGACCAGCGGCGACGACGAGACGAGGGATGGCAGGAGGCGGCGGCGACAGCGGCGGCGGACGAGGACCACCGCGACGGGGGCGGTGGCGACGACGGCGGCCGCGGAGGCGAGGCCGAATCTCACCGTCCCGGTGGCCGTGGCCGCCCTTTGGCCGGAAGTGCGGCGGCCCCGCGGGGCCTCGCCCGACGCCCCGCGGAAGCACCCGCGCCGCTCTCACAGTGGTCTGTCCTGCCCTGGCCTCACCGCCCGCCAATTCTCGGCCTCCGCCTGGGGCGACGGCAAAGGAGAGGACGACAGCGATAAGGACGGCGGAAATGACGACGACGGCGACGATGAGAACGACGAGGAGGCCGACGAGCAACACGACCGCGACGACGACGGCGAGGGGAGAGGATCGACCCTGCGACTGGGGGAGGGGGCGGGCGAAGACGGATAGGGATGCCGAAGGCGAGGAGGACGAGGAGACGAGGGCCGATCGAGAGGACGAGGCGGCGCAGGAATGGCCGGAGGAGCGAGGGGGCAGGAACGGGGATGGGTGGCGGGCGAGCGCGCGGACCGTCACGTCTGCGGCGGAGGGGGGGGGCGCGGCACGACCCCAGCCCAGAGGGTCGGCCGAGGAACTGCTCAGGGGAAGCAGCTGCTGAGGCAGCCTGCGGTCGAAAGTGACTGTGGCCGCTCGGTCCGGGAGTCGCCCCCAGAGGAGGGGGTAGGAACGGGGGCAGCTGGGAGGAAGGGGAAGAAAATGTAGAGGAGACGGAAGAGACGGAGCAGGAGGACAACGACTGCGAGGATGAGCAGGACAGCATGCGCGGGGAAGCCGAGCAGGAGGGATGCTGGGCGAGCAGGTTCAGGGAGCAGGGGAAAGAGAGGAGGATGAGGAGGGGCGAGGAAGAGGAGAAGAAACGAGGAAGAAGAGGAGACGTGGAGGACGATGAGGGAGGAGTTGGAAGGAGGTGGAGAGGCTGGAGGGAAGAGGGGGAGCCAGGGAGGAAAAGAGGAAGAGAAAAATAGATGGGGAAGACACGGCGGATGACGAGGAGAACGACGACGATAACGAGGAGAGCGCGGATAACGAGGACGACGAGGAGAAGGACGAGGGGACGGAAAGGAGGAGGACGACGAGGATGACAACAACGACAACGAAAGATCGCGAGACGGACGGGGAGAAGGAGGAGGAGGAAGAGGAGGAGAGCGAGAGGGGAGGACGAGGATGACAAGGAGCAGGAGAGGGAGGAGAGTGGAGGAGGAGGACGAGAATAAGGAGGACGACGATGAATGTACGAACGAACCAGACCCGCTTCCCCAAGCGTGGGCACGAAACCCATGCTCCGGGGGAAAATACGACGCCAGCGCCGCTGGACTCGACGATGGAGCGCGTCGAATTTGCATGGAAACCAGACCCGCTGCACAACGACTCTTTTTAGTAAATTTTTGGGCTTGAGCATGTTTTTCAATGACTCGTGATAATGGGCGTGGTCTGGGGAGGGGGGAGGGTCGTCCCCCCCGCCCGAACACATCACGCCGGGGAGCCGCCGGAAATCTTGGGAAATCCTGAAAGAATCCGCATGAAGTCTTTGCAAACGTGGGCAAAATAGCGTGACATGATCTAAAGGGGCGAAGGAGAGGGCCGATCACGGCCGCTCTCGCCCAGACCTTACAAAAAAGGGCTCTTGATCCATGTGTTGCGCTTCCTCGATCCACCACGTCGTCCTCCCGCCAGTGCCGCGGGAAGCCCACCCTGCTCGGCAGCGGAGCCGACGCATCCCGCGGGGGACGCCCGCACGGCAGCAGCCTGGCGGATGTTGCCGCGGCAGACCGCAAGACCCTTGTTCGCAGGTGCGCCCGCGGGGATCAGCGTTAGGAGGCGACTCCCGAGAAGTCTTCGCAGAAACGACCAAGGGCGTCCAAAGCAGACAGCGGCCGCTGTTGGGCAGGCGGCTGTTTTTCGGCGGTGGACAAACCTCCCTTTAGCAAACCTCCCTTTAGTGAAAACGGCCTAGAACCGAAACCGACGGATCTGGACCCAAAAAAATGACGGCTGCGACGCTCTCTCGCGAACCGAAAACGGCCAATTCGCTAATCGACGTGTCAGGGTAGGTCCATCAAACTCCGATTTTTGTCTTCAAAGAACCACGTCCGCGACGGCGCGAACAGCGAGTCTGGTTCAACATGATCAGGAACTGCTTTTGGGCATCGTACCCACCCTTTCCGTCCGCATGTCGATCGTCCCCGAATGACCCGGACCAAGGGGGCCATACAGTGGTGGTCCGACCACAAGAAACATGCCACAAGAAACCCAACCCTGAGACCCCAGGACGTCCATCGATTTTTGGTGAGAACGTCACGATTTCCATGGCAAAACCATCGAAACCCAAGAAACCCAAGGCACCCTGGAGGCAAGCAAGGTTTCTTGGCATCGGCCTCCACTTCAAGCCGGATTAACTCAGATAGAACTCAATATTGAGCTGGGTGAGAAACGGAATCCAACGGGCCTGTGTCGGATCAGAGGCCAGCTTTCGAGCAAGAACTTACCAGCGCCGATGCTGAGCTTAACCCCCCAGAAATTGCACCCTGACCCGCGGATAGCTCTCCGGAGCCGAGAGGGGCTGGAAAGGAGAGGCCTCCCAGATAGGGCCGGAGCGCATGGGGTCGCAGGATCCCGCCGCACCACCTATGCGTCGCCGATGCACTGGCGACGTTGGCGATGCATCGGCGATGACAGCGTGAAGAAAATCGGGCTCCATCCACATCGAGCCGCATCGCCAATGCATCGGCGATGCATCGGCGACGCGGCGCCATCCTCCGACCCCTTCTGCTCGGACCCCATCTGGGAGGCCCACAGGAAGGGCTGAGGCTGAGGCTGAGGCTGCGCCTATGTCGTCCCAGGGGGACGGCCCTACGCGGGGCTAGGCGGTGGCGCCGGGGCGCCGGCATCACTCGAACGTCGCATATCATACACAGGCCAACTGATTCCACACCCTGCGGTTCTGTCGTTGAACAACGCTTTGTGCGGGACACGTGCAAATCTTCCATATCTGCCCAAAGGAAGGGAGAGGGGGGAAGGAGGCGGGAGGGAGAGGTCCAGCACGAAGTCAACGGGCCCCCGAGGAGAGGGAGGTCCTCGACGCGGGCCGCCGCGCCGCTGCGCTCCTGCGCCCCTCCACGGGCCCCATCTCGGTCGGCACAAAGGGCTCAGGAGAAGCAGCTCCTCTCGCCATCGCTCGGACGTCCATTCCGCGTGCATGTTTCGGCTTCGTGCGTGTATCTCTTCGCCAGGTGGTCCAAAATTCTCCTCGACTGTCCCCGCCGAGAGCACACGCACACGTCCGAGCGATGCAAAGTCCCGGGGAAAGCTCCTAGGTCTGGGATCCGGGACCCTCGGGCTTCATTTCTGCGCTGCGAGGAGAGCAGGGGACGCGCAGGGGATGGTCGGCGGCCCCCCGGCCTTGCCGTCGTTGCACATGGCCCAGTCGACCTTGTGGAAGGGTCCCCGGTAGTAGTCGTCGCAGAAGCTGCCCACCTGGGAAGCCATCGTTACGACCGCTGCGACCGAGAGAACCTCACGTTGATTAGCCAGTTACTGCCTCTTTTCGCGTTGTCCCAAACTGGGGCGATACCTGTAGTGTCTGGTGAAATGTGCGAAGAGACAGGTGAAGGTCAAACACAACAGCCAGGCAGGGCAGAGCAAAGAAGGACAATGAACATAGAAGCATGCGAGCGTTAGGTGCAGCAAAGTACAACGTGCACGATCACCGGGACGCTGGCTTTGAAACACGACGTACCACCAATCCTGGCCAAGTCCTTGCCAGGCCCTGAATCCCACCAGCCCTTTAGGACATAGGTGGTCTAGGGAGCTTCCTCATCCAACCCCCTTCTTCCCCGTCGGGGAGGGTTTTTATCAGTGCTCCCTATTAGTAAACACCCCCCCCCATACCTTGCCGGCAGCCAACCTGGAACCATGCGGCCCCCCCACCATCCCTGTCAAAAAACACTATAGAACGGACATTGCGGGGCCCACCCTGCCAACACCCTCCACAATCCCTGTCGAAAAACAATACGAAGTGCACATTGCAACAAAATCCGCCCTGTGAGCACGTTGTACTGTTTTTTTGACAAGGATGGCGGGGCACCCGTTATGAAGCCGCTTTGTGCAGGACCACCATCCGTGTCAAAAACAATGCAAAGTGCACGTTGCGACAACGTCGTGGGTATTGTGCTGGCCACCCGCGATCACTTTGCATGGTTTGTTGGCAGGGACGGCAGTAGTGCCCGTATGATGATGCTTGCTGTGCGCAGGCCCAGAACAATGCTGACACCCCCCACATCAGCATCTGGACCATGCGGACGGGGGGGCATCACGTTTTTTACAAGGATGGCACACCAACCGCATGTGGAGCCCGCGGCGAGCGTCGCGCACCTGGCGTCCGCTTTGGTTCCTAGTGGCTGCCCATCCAATGGCGACCCCTGGCTATACGGAGACTCGGATGCCACTTATGTGGTGGGAGGGCGGGTGGGAGTGAGCTAGACGGCTTGCCTGCGGAGGTATCTTGACCCCTCCCCGTACGCCCTCCCCTGGACCTGGATGAGGGGTTCCGCGAGTAGTTGGAGCGTCCAAAACGGCCTCGGCGAGGAAGCCAAAATCACTGGTGTTACTATGGTTTTGGCCCCATTTTGGCCTCCTGGGGGGGGGGCTAATTGGGGAGCTCCCCTCCTCTGATCGATCTCACCCAAGATGGCCCAAAGATGGTCCCCAAGGCTCCCAAGGGTGCCCCAAGAGGTGGCCAGGAGGCCCCAAGAGGCCCCCATGGGGCCCCCAGGATGCCCCCAAGAGGCTCCCAAGAGACCCCAAAGAGGCCCCAAGAGGCCCCCTAGAGGCACCCAAGACGCTCCAAGAGGTCTCGGCGAGAATGCCACAATCATTGATGTTACCAAGGTTTTGGCCAGAGTTTGGCCTCCTGGGGGGGGTGCACTGATTAGATGACTCCAAGAGCGCCTGGGAGAGCCCAAGATGACCTCCAAGATGGCTCAAGATATCCCAACATGCCTCAAGATGGCTCCCACGATGCTCCAAGAGGCCCCAAGACCGCTCCAAGACGGCTCCAAGTGGCCAAAGAGCTTCCCCAGGAGGCCCGAAGAGGCCAAACTCCGTCCAAAACCTTCGGAAATTTAACGTGTTTGGCTTTCTCGCCTTTTCACTTCCGATGGCCATCCGAGGCCTCAAGATGGCCCATGAGGGCCCCAAGAGAGGCTCAAGAAAGCCCCAAGACGGCGCCAAGAGCGCCCAAGAGCACCCCAAGAGGCGACTGTTTGGGCTCCCGAGGAGCAACGCTAATTAATGCTCCCCTCCTGTTCGATCGATGTCCTCCAAGATGGCCCCAAGAGCGGTCCCAAGGTGCCCAAGAGCGCTTCAAGAGGGCCCCAAGAGGCGCCCAGGAGGCCACAGTAGGCCCCAACAGGCGTCCAAGAGGCCTCCAAGAGGCTCCCAAGAGACCCCCACGAGCCCCAACAAGCTCTCCGAGGCACTCAAGACACTCTAAGCGGCGTCCTGGACCTCCAAGAGGCCCCCCAGACGCTCCAAGAGGCCTCCTCTGGGGGACCCTTCCTCTGTGTGCTACCCACCTCCCTGATCGAGGCAATTCCTCTGTGCATCGTTTCTGGATGGGCTGGTGGGGTTACTTTTTTTCCGCGAGCGCCAACGGTACAGCCGCGCGCCGTCAGAGCGAAGCAACAACGCAACGCCCTAGATTACGCACTAAGCGCGGCTGGTGGGGTTGCTTTTTGATCGCGACCGCGAGCGGGCACCCGCACGGCGTCAGGAGGTCGTGAAAAGAGCGCAAGCCGGTGCTTTCGCAGCTGGTGGGGTTACTTTTTAGTCAGCGGCCGCAGGCGAGCGCGCCAGCGGCGAGTCAGGCTGGTGGGGTCACGCGAAGCGTCCAAAATTGGTGTTAAGCGGTATACGCTCTACCAGCGTAGGCCAGGACGGCCAATTCTCTGGTCCAAAGCTCAGGATAATCCTGGCCAAGGCCGGTGGCAGTATTGCCGGATTCTGGGCTGAGACTCGGATGACAAGCGCTACAGAGAAAGCCGAGCAGACGACAAAGTCGAGCTGTCATAACTTTGGAGCTCCATGCTTTCATCGTGCACCCCATTTACGGTCGGGACTTTTTGCTTAGTGTGTCGTGGCGCCAGCACGTCGCTCCGCTCAGCGGGGCATGAGGCTGGGAAACGCCCGGGACGTTGATGCCTCGGGCCTGGGAAGTGGTGGGCGTGTCGTGCCGAAGCGTGGTGGGCCAGGCCGGCGCGACACGCTAAGCCAAAGTTCCTGACCGTAGGGCCGTCTCGGGGGGGTCCTGGGGCTCTCTTTGGGGGTGTGGGCACTTCCGCCCACGTCCTTCTGCTGGGAACAGCAGCCCTTGCTCTACTTACTCCTGCCAGCCCCCGCGGACCTCCCGCCGACATCTGCCGAGGGCGACGAGGTCGAATATTTCTTTTGTCGAGTCGTCCGCAGTGAGGCCCTTTCTCGAGATGGCCCTACGGGCTTGTGGGCTTGTGTTTCGAAGATGTTACCGTGCCGCCACGGCTTGCGAGCCCGCGAAAGCGTCGGCGAGAACGGCGTCCTGGTACGGCATCTCGCGCGACCTCGGCTCCAAGCGGGAGTTGCAGACCCAGTGGAAGGCGATCACCATCAACGGCAGTCCCCACATCACGTAGAACTGCCTCCCTCCCTCCCCGCCTCGCTCCCCATCCGCTGCCCGCTGCACACTTGCCACTTGCACCGATCCTGGCCAAGCCGATCCTGGGCCCAAGGTCGGTACCACCGCCTCTCCTGGCCATGCAAGAAGCGCGTCTCCACGGGTCCTGGACACAGGACAGGCCTGGCTAGGGCCAGCATGTGATGATCGTTGGCATCCACATCCCCGTCCCTCCATCCCTCCATCCCCCCAGACCTGGAGGTCGCCGCGGTGTTCAGCCCGAAGATGCCGCAGAGCGCCAGGGAGCCGCCGAGGAGCCCGAACATGGAGCCGTTGAACATCTGCCGCCACCAACCGCCGTGGCAATCGAACTCCTGCGAGTACACGTGCCGGAAGAGCCAGCGGTACATGACGGAGGAGAGCCCGAAGTACAGGGCGCATACTGGCAAAACAAGGGGGGCCATAGAACAAGAAGAACTGCCCGAACATAAACTTTCGGAGGTTCGCCTGGATTTCTTGGATCGGCGCTGGGCCACCCTGCCTGGCGCGCGGAGCGCGCCAGGAGTGACGCCGAAGGCGCCGCCAAGCCAAGGGGGCTCAGAGCAGATCCAAGAAATCCGCGCGCACCTCAGAAAAAGGATGCTTGTGCCATGTGTTTCTTCTTCGGGGCTATGACGGCGTACATGAGGCCGATGACGAGCACCACCGTCAGATTTGTGCACTCGTAGACGAAGTCACAACCCGCCGCCGCGCTGTGCCACGGACGGTGCGTGTCGGGCCCACTGACTCCGTCGCTGGCGACGCATTCTCGCGTCTCGCGAACTTTTGGGGGTCGCAGAAACGGTGACCTCTGTCGCGCTTGCACTGAATTCGGCGGTGGACAAACCTCCCTTTAGTAAACCTCCCCTTAATGAAAACGGCCTGGGACCGAAACCGACGGACCTGGACCCGCAAAAACGACGGCCGCGACGCCCCCTCGCGAACCGAAAACGGCCAATTCCTTAATCGACGTGTCAGGCTAGGAGGTCTATCCGCCTCCGATGAATTCTCCTCTTGGCACTGCCTTTCATCGCGTTTCCCAGTGACAAACCGTGCGGTGACACTAAAACCTCACCGAACGGTCTGTCACCGCACCGTTGTGAGACCTCGGAAGCCATAGAAAACTCGAGACATTCTCGGAGAACGACTCAAGCCCCCAAACCGTGCGCTGCCCCGAGCCCCCGACGACACACCACACGGTGTGGTCACCGCACCGTTTGGGGGCCCACGAGACCGGACTGCCGGCCCCCCGCTCGGCCCAAGGTGCATTCAAACTATTTGCTCAAGAGTCTCTGGTTGGCTTTTGGGCCCTCCAAGCAAAACCGTGAATGCCAGAAACGGGTTCCATGGTGGGCCGAGGGATGACAAGCAAGAAAAGCACCATTAACCCTTTGGGAGGGGGCCTAAGTTAGGAGGGCCAGAAACATTAGGGCTAGGGGGTCTATTCTTCAGACGTATCTGACCAAGCCGCCCAGATGTATCATCCCTGAGGCAAGGACGTGGACCCAAGTGAGGCCACGCCTTCACTATGTTGTTAGGGTTAGGGGCTCTTTGATCCGATGAAGGAAGGGGGCCTCTCGACACAGCCCCTCCCTCCTCGTCCTCCTCCTCCTCCTCCTGCTTCTCCTCCTCCTCCTCCTTCTGCTCCCCCTCCCCCTCCTCCTCCTCCTCCTCCTCCTCCTTCTCCTCCTCCTCCTCCTCCTCCTCCTCCTCCTTCTCCTCCTCCTCCCCCTCCTCCTCCCGCACCCCCCCGCAGAGCCTCCCCCCACACAACTCGGTGGCGGCCGCGCGCGGCAGCTGCACTGGATACACGGGCGCCGGGTCCCCGCCGGAGCCGCTGCTCTTGGCGCCGAGCGCGCTCGTCAGCGCAGAGAGGCGCAGCAGCAGGAAGGGGAGCGTTGTGCCTATGCTAGAAAGGAAAAAACTGCATAAACAGAATTAGCTTTGGAAGGTCCGCGCGGGTTTCCTTTGATCTGGGCCAAAACACCCTCTTGCACGCGGAGCGCGCCAGGGGCGGCGGCGGAGACGCTGCCAGGGGGCTCCAGCACAGATCTAAGAAATCCGCGCAGACCGTCGAAAGATTATGCTTATGCCGATGTTTTACCTTCGATATGCGAACGACAACCCAAGTAAAGAAGCACACGGACAGCTTCGGGATCGTGTTGCCGAGAATCTGCCCCACACAGAGCGGGTGCAGGACGGCCTCCTGGAAGCTGTCGAAGATGGTCCCAGACACAGTTAGGAGGTAGAGCGAGGCGAGCTGGAAAGCAATGTTGCGGCTGAGCGTCTTCTGGGCCACCTTGTGCTTGAGCTTGCGACCCTCGAATCTCTCGGCCATCTGCTGGAGAATGCAGGGCAGGGCCAGGAGCAGCCCCATGATGGCCAGTATTGGCAGGTAACCTGTCAGCAGGCTGTACGCCCAAGTCTGCGACAGCCAGTTCTCCAGCTCTGGCGCGTAGGCCCTCAGACTCTGGGGGTGGGTTACGCCCTGGATAGCGATCAGGGGCACCGACCAGAACAGAACGCCAACGAAGCACAGCAGATTGGCCGCTTGCCCGCGCAACTGCACGAAACGGTCAGGGAGGCCGACGTTCTCCCAGATGAGGTCGTTGGCCTCCGGGGCCGGCTTGACCTCCCAATCGAAGTAGTCGTAGTGCCCGTCGAGGCAGGAGGGCGGGAAGAGGACCTGACGTTCCGCAGTGATAGAGGAACAAACAGTGATACAAACATGAGAACTTTGAGGTCCGCGCGGATTTCTCGGATCGGCGCTTGACCCCCCCTGCCTGGCGCGCGGAGCGCGCCAGGGGCGGTGCCAAAGGCGCCGCCAGGGGGGTCCAGCGCGGATCCGATAACTCCGCGCGGACCTCCAAAAGTCTATCTTCGTGGCGTGTTTTCTTCTTCGAGGAAGAGGACCTGACGCTCTGCAATGAGCCTGTCCCTGAGCGACCCGAAGGTCACGAAGGCGGTGCCGGAGTGCTGGTCGCGGCTCGCGCCGCAGCAGGCCCACCCGAGGGCGCGCAGCAGCCGCTTCCGCAGGGAGGCGGCGCCGCGGTCCGAGCCCTGCCACGCGACCCCGTGCAGCGCGGTCGAGTGCACGCTCAGGGACAGCTCGGCGAACGCGCGGCGCAGAGCCTCCTCGCTCCGCTCGGGCCGTGCGAAAGGGGGGGATAGCAAAGTGGGGCTTTGAGAATCAGCTCGCGTAGCTGACTTTCCCGGCGCAGGCGCCCATGCATCGAGGAATGGGCCCGGCGGCGGGGCCGAAATCAGCTGCATGCAGCAGATGTCGTAGCCCCCCCTTTCCCTATCCCCCCCTTGCGCTCGGCCCGATCCGCACCGTGGGCGGCACCCTCTCCACCATCACCGAGTACTGCGCCTGGGCGGCGGCCACGTCCAGGTCGCCCAGCGCGGCCGCCGAGAAGCGCTCGCGCCGCATCTGCGCGAAATCGGACCACTCGGCGCGCACTAGAGCGAAGAACGCCAGCGCGACCACGTAGGCCGCCAGGACCACCGCCCACAGCTGCCAACCGTCCCCCATGCCGAGGTTGGACACCGTGCTGCCGAAAAAGCTCGACGAGCCTGAGGCGACTCGCAAGCTCTCCTTTCGGCGGCGCGCCCGGGGGGGAAAAGAGAAGAGGCGGGCCTCCTCAGAAGGCGCGGAAGTCCCTGGGCCTTCCGAGAGGTGTCCTGGGCCTTCCCCGAAGACACAGAACGCTGCTCAGAAGGCGCGAGGGCCTCTGAGAAGTCCCGCCGCCTTCTGCGAGGGCCTTCTCCCTCCCATTTCCCCCCCTCGGCCGCCGCCGATCCTTGGCGATCGCTGCGCTCACGTCCCTGCCGCTCTCTGCGATCCCGGGCACCTTGGAGACGCGGCGCGCCACGGCGAGGCCCAGCTCGCCCGTGTCTGCGGCGAGCGCCTGCATCGCCCCGGCGGCGCCGTCAGCGGGCGAGGCCGTCACCCAGACGACGACGGAGTCGTCCGAGGCCGGAGAGGCCAAGCTCAGCGAGACGCCGCCGCCGCGCCACTCGCTCTCGAGCGCGCCCTGGACCGCGGCCATGAAGGCCGCGAGGAGCGAGCTGTCGGAGACGAGGCGGCTGTAGGCCACGTTCCCGACGAGGAGGCTGAAGTCGAAGCCGCCGCCCGTCGCGGGGCGCCCGCTGCCCGCGTACATCGGGACCAGCACGAGGCCCAGCAGCGAGCAGAACAGGCAGAAGCGCAGGCCCAGCCGGCAGAAGCCGGGGGAACAAAAAAAAACCGCATGAGCACAAACAACCTCTCGGAGCTGCGCGCGGATCCCCTGGCGGCGCGGCCTGCGCCGCCCCTGGTGCGCGCCATGCGCCAGGGAGCGGGGTCCCGCGCCGATCCCAGCAGGCCGCGCGATCCTCCAGAAGTTTTGTGCGCACATCGTCTTGCCATCGCTCGGACGTCCCTTGCCCCGCGCATGTTTCGGCTTCGTGCACGTGTTCTGCTGCACTGAGATCCAATAGGCTCCACGATGGTCCAGATACTCTTAGGCGGCGAGCGAGGGCGGAAGTGAGAAGGGGCGGGCCTGAAGGCTCAGAAGTCCCCGGGTCTTCTGACAAGTTTTCTAAGCCTTCCCCGAAGACACAGAACGCTTCTCAGAAGGCGCGAGGGCCTATGAGAAGTCCCGCCGCCTTCCGAGAGGGCCGTCTCCTTCTCGCTCCCCCCCTCGCTCGCCGCCGAATTCTGGCGCCGTCCTCGCCGAGAAAGAACGCACGCGTCCGAGCGATGCCAAGCACGCTAAGCACGCCTCGTTTGTTCCCCGAGAAGCGCAGCAGCACCCGCGCGTCCAGCGGCAGCGACTCGTCGCTGGCGCTGGCGCCCCGCGCCAGCGCGGAGAGCCGCCCCGTCCAGTCCGCGGGGGCCTCGGCCCCCCCCTGCGCCGAAAGGCTGCCCTCCTCGGGTGTGTACGCCGGCGCCAGCGAGCGGAAGCAGCCCTTGGTGCAACGGTTGGGAGGCGACTCGAGCCGGGTGCTGCTAGAAGTGCCCTTGGCCCAAGGTGCCCCCAGGGTTTTCTCCGAGGAGGCCCCCCGCGGCCTCAGGAGCACCCCTCAGCAGGTCCAGAGCCCAGGGGCTCCAAAACGGAGCGAAAGGCTGGGTGCACCCTGGGCCAGGGGCACCTCTAGCAGACTCCGATCTAGAGGGCGTGCTCCTATGTTGCGCGATAGCGGCCGCTGGCCCAGGCGCCTCGCCCCCCCACACCAAGTAACTCCACGATTCGTGTTGACCTCCGAACTGCCTCTGGCTATTCCTAGGTATTCCCAAACGGCGCAGTCGCGAATCGTGACATCAACGGCCCCTTCTCCCCTGCCCCTTGGTAGCGCCCGTTGCCGCCCGGGAGAACATACACAACGCTCTCCCAGTGGAGCGCAAAAGAACATTAACATACATCTCGACGGCCCACGCGGATGTCATAGACCTGCGCTGGACCCCCCTCCCTGGCGCGCGGAGCGCGCCCAGGGCGGCGCAGGAGGGTCTGCCAGGGAGGGGGGGAGCGGCCAGGATCCAAGAAATCAGCGCGGAATGTCGAAACTTTCTGATTGTGCAGATGCTTCTTCTGCTTCTTCTTCTTCGAGACTCCTGGGAGGCTTTTGTCATCATCGGGGGCGTCGAAGGAGGGGCGTCCAAGAGGGGGTTCGCAGATCATGGCCCGAGGCATGTGCGCGGACCAAGGGGAGGGCTGGAGGCGTATTGAAGTAACAAGGGAAGCCACGAAATCAGGGTACACATCATGGTCCTTGCCGTGATATCACACCCCCAAAGTCACCACTCCCCTCTTGGCCGCCCCTGAGATCGGACGAAGCCAGAATCGGAAAAACAAATCTGACCAGGAGAAATCGGGAACCTCTGGGACCTGGCGGTTCTGGAGGATGTATCACGCGCCGCGGCCGTTCCAACGCATCCCCGAACACTCTCAGAGCGCTCCCGAACGTTCTGGAGCCATTTATTCCGATCCTAGGCATGCCTGGCGCAAGGACAACCACCGGCTAAGCATGATGCCTGACTGTCATGCCACTGAACCAGATTACCCTTGATTCATCCCAGGACTAATCCCGATGAAGCCGGATTTAGCGAAACTAGACGGGATGTTGCAGATTATGCTGGTTTCCGACCGCGGATCTACCAGCGCCGATGCTGAATTTAATCTCTCAGGAGTTGCATCCTAACCTTGGAGCCGACGGCCAGCGCCAGGAAGGCCAGGACGGCGGCGACGAGCTGCGCCGCGTTGATGGCGCACACCTGTAGCAGGGTCTCCGTGTCGCTCCTAAGGGCGGGCATCAGGGGGGGGACTGGCTCAGGGGGAAGCATCGAGCTGGAATCGGCGATACCTCGCCGATGGATCGGCGATGGGCCCCGATAGAAAGCCCGCACGTTCCTGGGCGGGCGGGGTACAGGCGATTGGGGTACCATGCCCCCCCGTAACGTTGCCCCTCAATTCCTCGTGTACCCCGCTCGGTTCTTGACCGGGCACGCGTAATTCCCCACGAGCTTGGCCACCGTCTCGTCGTCATCCTCCGGGGCGTCCGCCGATCGCGCCGACGGCAGCCGCCGGGCTGGCCACGTCGACGCTGGCGCCGCAGCGGCTGCATCCGCCGCCTCCGCGTGAGGGAAAAGGGATCCAAATGGAAACGGGCCCTGGACCCCATGTGTTTGCTCTCGTGCACTCCGCAGAGGTGTCAGATTGTCGCACGCCGACGGGGCCTAGCTCGACCGTCGCCTATGCAGGCGTAATGTCAGTGAGAGCTGCGGCCTGTGCAGCGAGAGGATTCGAAAACTTTGACTGTGTGCGACTGTAACTGTGCCACCTTACAGGCCTGTCCTGATGGAAACCATGACTGTGTGCGCCTGTGCCACCGTAAGGATCTCAAAGTCTGCCTTGCCACGCTGAGGGTCAGCAGCGCTTGGGGAGATCTGGCCATGGCTCCGAACTCAGCAAAGATGAAAACACATCACGATGGCCTCAACCATCTTTCTTCCCAGGCAGATCTTTCACCCCGACCCGTCTCTTGACGGACCTGGGCCCCGCGGAAGGGCACGAGAGGCCGACAACATCGAAAAACCACCAAAGGACCTCTCGGCTCCATGATCACTGATCTTCACTGACAGGAACAACAAAAACAACGATGCCGCTACTCCCCAGGCCTCGCCCATGGTGCGTTCTGCCCAACAAAACGAAAGCCACGGCATGCGATGCCGCGATGCCCGACCCTTTCCCCAGAACATGATTTTCATCCCCAATCGCTGTTTGACCGTGCCGGGCCCCGGCACGGGTCCAATAATCAGGAAATTGTCAAGCATCTTTCGTCGTGTTTCTGACAAGCGCACATATGTCTGAGCTTCCTCTCGGCGACTACGAGGGGTGTGGTTCGCAAAAGGGTGTGGCTTGCAAACCGCGCCTGGGGGGCTGGCGAGGACCTCGACAGAAATCTCTGCCACGCCCCGACGAGGGTTCATCAAACCTTTGGGGCAAAGGGGTAGCACTATAAGCCCCAACGGCGCCAGTCGCAAACCACCCCTGACATCCGACGACGCGAAAAAATTGGAAACATCGAAAAAACAATACAGGAGCCCCAGACCCCATGTTCCCGTGACATTTTTCGAACATGATCGATCTGTGAGGGTCCCGGGGCCCGAAATTTGAGCGAAACCGAAGGGTTCCAAATAATTGAAACGCCAGGATCTCAGGGAAACCAGGGGCGTAACCACATCCAGTTGCCGATCCTTCTCTACTCTTATGCTTCACGGCGACCTCCTCTTCCCCAGCGGGTGACGGCGACGGCGACGGCGACGGCGACGGCGACGGCGACGGCGACGACGACGACGACGACGACGAGGACGACGAGGACGAAGACGGCGACGGCGACGACGATGACGACGACGACACTGGCCGCCGCCGCCGCCGCCGCGGGCTGGCAACGCGCGGGCGCGAGCGCCAGCGCGGGCAGCAATGCACGCGCGGCAGCGCCAGCGCAGCGGCGGCCCATGGCGGGCGCTAAGAGCCCGCGGCTTCCGCCGAAGCGGCTGCGGAGGCTGAGGTCAGCACAACCCATCCCCACCCGCAGCCATGACCCCCACTCCCGACCTGGTTGGGGTTGGCGGTCAACCTCTTGGGGTCCAAAAGGCCATCCCCACCCCCATCCAGGATACCCTGGATCACTGGGTCGGGGATCGGAGGTCCTGGAAGAGCGGAGGCGCAAATCATGGCTGGCGGCACGTGCGCGGCCCATGGGGGGGGGGGCCGGGGACAGATTGACATGAGAAGAGGCGCGATGAAACCTGGGGAGACCACATGGCCCTGGCTATGATATCCAGCCCCCACCCAGTCATCACCCCCCTCTTGGCCGCCCCCGAAGTGCTCGGGACCCGGGGCCATCACGCCTGGACCGTAGACGGGGAAACTGCCCCTGGGAGAGAGGTCGGGGCCTCTGGGGCCGCGCCTCGACCAAAGCACCTCGTCGGGCGTCCGGGGATACGCGATACAGGCATCGTGCTAAGATTCGGAGCGCCGAACAGGGCACGAAGGGGCTTGCCCGTCTTGCCCCGGCGGGCCTCGGCCACCAAGAGGTTCTCCCCGACCTAGGTCTAAGGGACGACGCGAAAGCCAGAGCCCTTCCTGAGCCCAGAGTGCCCTCATCTCAGCGTTGTGACGGAGCAGAACGATCAACGGTGAAGGCAGCCAAACCAGACTGTAAAATACTGCTTCAAGCAGGAGGAGCGAGAGAGTGGCCATGTGTCAAGCGAGCGGGAGCTGACCTGCTCCTCGCGTCGAGGAGCGAGAAGGTGAGAGACGAGGGGGAGGACAAGCTAGGTGCGCCCGCGCCACATCCTACATCCTGCCCATGCCGCCCGTCCCTTCCCATTCTGTTCAAACATTTTCCACCCGCAAGAGAACAAGATGAGGAAGAAGAGTGAACAGCAGCAGGAGCAGTAGGAAGAGCAGCAAGAGGACCAGGGAGGGACAGAGGAGGGCACCGGAGGGGGACGGCGATGACAAGATACGCATCTGATCAAAACGTGCGGCCCGCGCCGGGGCGAATCGCAGATCTTGACGACGGGAACAGGGCGGCGAACCTGAAACGCGGTTAACGTGCAAACAGGTCGTCTCGTCCGCTGTCCGCCCGTGGGCGCTCGCGTCGTGCGCCGGGTGGGTGCGTCGAGGCTGCGTCTGGTGCCCGCCCGTGGGCGTCTCGTGGGCGCCTCGTGCGCTTGCTGGCGTGGGGCGAGCAGGGAGGCCCATGCGCTCTGCGACGGGCTTCCAAGTTCACCTTGCAGCGCAGAGCACGAGATCCTTCACATTGGCCTCTCGTGGCCGTGCTCCTCCTCCCCCTTCCTCTCCACCTCCCCCTCCTCCCACAATCCCCCTCCACTACCACACCATCAAGACCCACCACAGGGTGGCGGACCAACATGTTCTCAGACCCCTCTCCGAAGGAGTCGTCATCCTCCTGGTCATGACCAACGCCGCCCATCCACCCCTCCCCTCTTCCTCCTCCTTCGCCCCCCTCACCCAGTCCCTTCGGCCTCCTGCTCCTCCTTCCTCCACCTCCCTGCTCGGACAACCTGGATGGGCCGAAAGGTAGAGCCGCACTGCTCCCGTGGGCGGTCGTCCCGGGGCATGGCCTTTGGGCTTTTCGAAGCCTGCACGAAGCGTAAGCCGCCCTCCACTGGAGCACCGGCAGATGCCGTGTCTGGCCTTCGGCCTGCAGCCTTGAGCATTCCGCCTCCTCCTCCTCACCCTCCTCCTCCTCCTCACCCTCCTCCTCCTCCTCCTCCTCCTCCTCCTCCTCCTCCTCCTCCTCCTCCTCCTCCTCCTCCTCCTCCTCCTCCCCCCGATCTCCCCTCTTGAGAACAGCGCAACCCACCCCCAACCCCAGCCAGGAACCCCACTCCGAACATAGTGATCAAGGGGGTCCTGGCTGGGGGAGGGAAATGGCTTTCTGGTTGAGGGCCAAAGACGAACATCACCCCCAGCCAGGAGCCCTGAATCACGAGGTCGAGAATGGTGGTCTTGGCTGGGAGTGGGGGTGGGTTGTGCTGTCCTTCGCCACGAAAAGATACATACAGACACCATGCAACGAAATTCGCATGTAGCTTTAGGGAGGGCGGTGGCGTAGAAAGTCGCTGGCTCCCAGTGGTTGCTTGTACACCAACACCCTCTCCTGAGGCTCAGGAACAGTCCATTGGAGGGTGTCTGCGTGTATCTTTGCAGCGGATGCCCTCACCTCTAGCGACTCTAGCGACGGCGTCCTCCGTGGAGGAGAACCTCTCGACGCACCAGGCGCGGAAGTTCTGCCACACCGTCGCCCCGGCCTCGTCGATCTCCTCCGAGGCGCCAGGGATCGGGAGCGTCCATTGCAGGAGGGGGCGTCCAAGACGTCCACGAGCGGGGTCCGAAGATCATGGCCCGAGGCACGTGCGCGGCCCAGGGGGGCGCCAGGGGACGCACTGAAATCAGAGGCGTCAGGAAGCCTGGGGAGATCTCGTGGCACTGGCCATGGTTTCCCCCCCCCCCCCCCCGCGTCACCACCCTGCGAGGCCAATTTGTATACCACCACTGCCCGCAACAGTAATTTACCGCAAAAAAGGTTAGGGGCAGGGTCATGCCAGACGACGCTGCGACGCCACGGCGAAAAGAAGCGCGGCGCAGCTCGCAGGCGCCGTGGCATGGGGAGTTCCTGAAGCAGAAACAGCACTTCATGGTGGTGTATAAAAATCGCTCCCCTTGGTAACCAAAATTGTATACACCACCACCGTGCGTGCTTTGATGAATTCTGTTTCGGTCTTTCAGAAAGAGGGGGCAGCCCGGTTGCCGTTGGCGGCGGGAGGGGGACTGCGGGCTTTCACCAGAGCAAAACTGCACCAAATCACATCGTAGATTATTCTTGATCTTGGTGGTGGTAGTCATACACTGTGCTCGGACACCCTCCTCTTTCTTGGCCGTCCCCGAAGGGTCAGGGGTGGACTGAACCCCCTTTCGCAGAACGGCCTTTGGTGAAAACGACCCGTGACCAAATCCAGCGGGCGCAGACCAGCAAACATTGCGGCCGCAGCACCGTCCCGAGGACCGCCGAAGAATTGGCAGCTCGCAGATCAACTTGACAGGGCGGGGTCCTGTCGATTTCCGAGAGAGGCAACAGAGCAAGAGGTCCAGAAGATGGGTTTCAGAGGATGGAGCACGATGGTGAGGAGGGGTGGGGCGGACGGCTCAGGCGGGGAACGTCGACCTGGAATCGGCGATACTTCGCCGACAGATCGGCGATGGGCCCCGGATAGCGTATCCGCACTTTCCTGGGGGCCGGGCGGGCTATCGGGCCCCTATCGGCGATGAATGGCCGATCGAGGGGCGA